TAGTTGTAAATCTTTTTCCAGAACTTCATCCATTTTATCAAATGAATGAAAACTTTCCACATTCTACAAACTGAATCAAATCTGATCTACAAATAACTGGAAGATGATATTACACTGGTGACCATCCCCCCCACCCTTCATCTTTATATTAACATATTAAATAATAATTAAATCTCCATAGTCCAGCCTTCTGTGCATCGTAGTTTAATGATCATGGATGTGCACTATTGAGAAGTCTTATACTAGCCATCCAATACTTCCAAGTTTTCAATGGTAACCTAACATTCATCGATTCATGATCACAATCAAAAACCTAACCATCTCTGCAACCCTTACACTGATGATAATTATAAATCAATCTAACTAAATTGAAAAGCATGTGAATGTCCAATATTACCAGAGAATTTCAAATACGTAATTCTATATAATATTAACAGGTCATTGTGTATGTGCATATATATATGTGTATGTGTTTATGAATGTGTACATGTATAATTGATTATCATTAAAACATACAATTTTATAGTAACCAACAAGTCAGTCACCTATTTGTTACATGTGTATATTATGAAGTGAATGAATTAGATACAGTTTAATTTCATTCTATTCTTATGACACGTCAATCTAATTCATTGTGAACACTTTGAATTTCAATAATAATAATAATAATAATAATAATAATAATAATAATAATAATAATAATAATAATAATGAACATGAAATATATATGTGTGTACTTATGTACTACTATTACATTAGTTACAAAACTCGATTTAATGTTACATAATCATGAAACCTTTTTTTTCTCTCTAAAGAATGAACAAATTACTAACATCTAATCTATTGAATGAATACTTCATTCTGAATTGGTACTGGTTCTAGAATTGTATGAAAAGCTAAAGATAAAAGTTATTAGTTATTTATTTCTAGCTTATGTGTAATGACAATGTGACATTTCTACGATTTTATAATCGTTCTGTAGTCATTTTTATTAGTAAGGGATTAAGTTAGCCTTAGTTGAGTATAGATTTATGTAGTTGAATTTGAATATCACTTGTAATTCAACATCTATCTTGACAATATGAGATCGAAGATGCAAGCTGGTGTAGATCATTAGATTACCTTAAGGTATTTAATTAGTTCGCTGGTTTCAAAAACACACATTTTTGAATTATATGATAACTGATTCGATCTTCTGTGGTGAAGTTGTAGATGTGCATTGCTGAAGAGTTACAAATTAAGACAATGTAATTACCAAATACCTCCGCGCTTTCAATAGTAGTTTAGCTAATATCCGTTTGTGATTTAAATTATGAAGATAAGTTTAAACATTAGATGGTGGTTGGAGGTAGTCGACAGGAAACCCTGGACCCGGGTTTCGTGCTACTTGGTACGAGATCGGATCCGCCAGGGAGCACCAGTTCCCTCAAGATTACAGGTACATTTTACTGACGAGTGCCAAGTAGCACGAAAACCGGGTCCAGGGTTTCTTGTCGACTACCTCCGACCACCATCTAATCTCAACATAGTGCACGCAGTGTCGAGTCACCTAGGCTGGTGGCCACATTGCAACATGGTCGATAGCATTCAATCTGTACTAATAAGGACTAGACACGCATGACATTGATCGCCACCCAGTGATCAATCAGTTGTGATACGTTTAAACAGTTATATATATAATACTCAATTGTTGGTTACATTGAAGTGTGTATAATGTCTAAACAGTAAACTTTTAACACGGTTATATCATCACAGGTATATTACTCTGATCAATGGTAACTATCACAAAACTGAATTCAAACAATTAAGAAGCACTTAGATTAGTTTCCAAGTTCTATTCAATTTGATCGATATAATATGATTAGTACTAAGGATTAGATAAATAAGACATCGGGTACTACCAATTAATCAATAACGGTGTGCTTTTGAATAACTGTGTTGTTTTTTCTTATGAACAGAATATTTTATATGTAAATACATCAAATGAATAGACTGTGTGATTGTTTTATTATTGTTATCATCAAATGTTTACTAGCTGTGTACAATTAGTTTTCTCAGTGACATGATCGGTTTGATATAATAATAATAATCAGCTATTCAATCAATAAATGACAATACGAAGTAAATTATAATACATATATATTTGTATTACATGTTTGGTTACATGATACATTACATCTATTGTTCAATGGCAGAGAATTTATGAGTGATTTTTGTCAGTGATCAATATTAATTAGGGATAGTACTGAAATAAGAGATTCCTGATGAGTTGTTCCGTTCTAGCATGAAACATTTATAACAACAAACTGCATATGAATCAGTAGTCTAAAAGTAACTTAGTCGCAACAAGAAATAAAGGACTTTGGTGCGATTCATAGTAGTATCGTGTCAGTGATATTTGATCAGACGAACAAATCGGTTGTCAATTACATTCTAAATGAACTCAGCCTGTGACAAAAACTATCTGAATATAAAACTGATCTCCGCAAATCTAATGACTAGCCCAGGATTTCTTTCATACGATTGCTATAATCACAAGAAACAGTACGTTTTAATATTAATATTAATATGTGAATATATAGATGGGTTGATGTAATTTTTTCAAAAATAATTTTTATGATGTACTTCTGTCAATCTAACTGAAGGTTTACACGTGGTTTATCCATTATCATCACGAATTTTTGAACTTTTAAATATAAAACTACTAGACGACACACATTTTATTAAGGATATATATATATTAATCATGACGGTTGTGAATACCTTTTTTGCCTACGACAATTATATTCCACTTTAGCCTGATTCATACATTTGCTGGGTGAGATAGTGTATAGACGATACTTAACATGACACAGTTGTACATATTCCACCATAAATATCCTTAAAACATTAGTAATCCCAAATGCCCTGGTACGGCTGAGGGTAGGGAGAGTTAGCTCTACCTCTCGAAATGCTCTCACATGGCCACATGCATACAACCACAGTCACAGAAGTTCTACTCACCGCCTTCTCTCACCACGGGTGTTGTTTATGAAATTGAGAGGACGAAAAGCGAATGTCCGGTGCTTTAACCGGTTTGGTGGATATGGAGGGTTCACCTAGGAGAGCTGGACAACCCTGATTCCAAACCAATGGTGAACATGGGCTCCAGTATCCTGAAGGAACAAACGGCCTATAAACCAGTCGTCGATAACCGGCTACCATGGGGCTGCATCTCCTGATGTTGCTCCACTGCCTTGTGGATCAGATCTTTAGGTCGAAGACTCAGGGTATGGCCCATTAAGAAAACCACCTGCTTCGATCTATGCACCCGGGCAGTATTCCAGTCCTCGCACAAATCTTATGATTTATGTGGCGCATATCTGTTTCGTGCCTCCTTGTAACAATGTTTATGTGTTTAAATAAATAAAAATAAAACTTGTTATAGACGTTAAGTGATATTCGGTTCAAAATCCTAGACAAGCATTGAAGTAAAGTAGATGATTTCTCGTGCTATATATTAGTGAGTTACGATCTAACTCAAAGTACAAAATGATCTGTTCATATAAAATGAAAATTTTTAAATCAAGTACTTTCTATATTTTTTGATTGAGATCATGAACCAATTGATGTTAGACCTCCATTAAAAACCTGGAAGCACTTGACGGCCGTTTCGTCCTATTGTGGGACTCCTCAGCAGTGCGCATCCACGATCCCGCTCGTGGGATTAGCATTAACACAATTGGATGCCGGCTCATTAGTTCAGTAGGTTAAGCGTTTGCGTGCGAGACTGGGGGCCCTGGGTTCGGATCCCGCGGGCGGGATAGGACGAAACGGCCGTCCAGCTCTTCCAGGTTTTCAATGATGGTCTAGCATCAATCGGTTCATGGTCTCAATCAAAAACTTAACAATCTCCACAACCACTATACTGATACTTTCTATATGTTAAATAACTGTGAACAACAGTTGATATATTTTTAAGTTAGTTGCAACTACTTGGATGAATTTAGGTTCTTCTAATACCTACATTTTCACTTCACTTGTTCTCAAATAAGTCAACTTTAATAAAAAAGAGATTTTTCGAACAACCACTAGCAAGTAAGAGTCATTGGATAACTATTTCTTCATAGTATAGGACTCCTCAGTAGTAATGTCCATGTACGACTTCATCAACCAGTATAAATCTTAGGATTCTCAGTTCTAAAGAAAATCACTCAACCTTCAAACTACTAAACTAATATCCTATGGTTTACATTTTTAATGTCACTTAATTTGTGATATTCGATAAAAAGCTATCTTCAGATACTGTTGGTTGGTAATTGTTTTACATCTATTATGGTTAATCTGTTAAATCTATGTCTATTTCTTAAGTTTATTAGGTATTTTATTTTATTCTATAATTTTCTTTCTAGTTTGATCAAACAAGCAATTCTGATGTATATGACAGAATTTTAAAAAATAGTATATTGGGTACAAGACTAGTGAAAAAAGCTGTTATATGCAATCGTCGATCAGGTGCGATAAATGCTTATGGACCAGAGGATTTTACACCATCGATTGAACAAATTAATAAATTTATGATATTAGCACAGGTAAGTGGTTGTTTATTATTATTAGTGTTAATGGTAGTTTATATCACGGACCGAATGCAGCTAGATAATTAATGAAAACTAAGAAAAATTGGAGACAGCACTATGGGAGTTTCTTTGACACTACGGCGTGCCTCAGAAGATAGTCAATATCATACAGAATTCCTATGATGGATTAAACTGCAAAATCATATATTGAGGACAGCTCACAAACTCGTTCGAAGTAAGGACAGGTGTCAGGCAAGGTTGCTTACTCTCACCCTTTCTCTTTCTCCTGGTGATCGACTGGATCATGAAAACGTTAACATCTGAGGAGAAGAATGGGATACAGTAGACATCTAGGATCCAGTTGGACGATCTAGACTTCACAGATGATCTGGCCCTCCTATCGCAAACGCAACAACAAATGCAGAAGACGACCAGTGTAGCAGCAGCCTCAGCAGCAGTAGGTCTCAACATACACAGAGGGAAAAGTAGGATTCTCCGATACAACACAGAATGCACCAATCCAATCGCACTTGATGGAGAAGATTTGGAATATGTAAAATCCTTTATATATCCGGGCAGTGTCATGGATGAACACGGTAGATCTGATGCAGATGTGAAGGTGCGGATTGACAAAGCAAGAGCAGAATATCTGCAATTGAAGAACATCTGGAACTCAAAACAACTGTCGATCAACATGAAGGTCAGGATTTCCAATACAAATGTCAAGACAGTTCTATTGTATGGGGTGGAAACGTGAAGAACTACGAAAGCCATCATCCAGAATATGCAACCTACTATGGGAAAAAATAAACCAGATTCCAGAGGAGGAAGAAATCAGGAAGAAGCGCTGGAAGTGGATAGGACACACATTGAGGAAAGCACCGAACTGCGTCACAAGGCAAGCCCTCACATGGAATCCTGAAGGCCAAAGGAAGAGAGGAAGACCAAAGAAGACATTACGACGAGAAATGGAGACAGACATGAGAAGAATGAACAACAATATGATAGAACTGGAAGGGAGGGAAGAATGCTGATCAGTGGCCTATGCTCCATCGGGAGTAACAGGCGTAAGTAAATAAGGAAAACTGAACAGCTGTTTTGTTTCAGTATGAACTTCTAAGTAGTGTGGTTTCAAATGTGCACCCAGTTTATGCATATCTCATTGCGAACCTTTAACATTCGAATCGCTGAGTTAATATTTCATGATTGATAGTCCCAGTCATTTATTATCTAATGGTATCGATGATACCTGATTCACAACAATTGAACTCCACTGGTTAACTGACTTTTATTGAAATTAAAGTTCTCTTCCAGAGTACATCCTTATTGCTATTATAAAGCTTTTGTGAACTCTGACACGGGTAAAAATTGTGTCTAATCTATGATGGACCAGTATTATGCTATATGATTATTTCATTTTGAAATACTCAGAATAAAAACTTCATACAGAACAAAAACTGTTTGTCAAATTGTATCATTACTCTATCGAGTTATGAACGATGTGCTCTGTTATACGTCTAAAGTACAAAGTGTGGGGGAAAAAATAGTACTGTACCATAAGCCTCTTTGATTTTTATTAAGAGATATTTAATTTATTAATGACAATATCAAATGGATGTTTTTTGTAATGGCATAATTTATTGTCAAGCTAAAATGTGAAAAATCAATTCGCTATTGTAGCTGGACTACCATTGGAAAAAATGGAAGCTCTGAACGGTCATTTTGTTCTAGTATGGGACTCCTCAGTCTTGCACGCGAACGTTCAACCTCGATTCCCGCTATCGAGATCGTGGATACACACTGCAAAGGATTCCTATACTAAGACTAAACGACCGTCTTATGATTCCAAGTCCTTAATCGTGGCCTAACTAAGAGCAGTTTATGGTTTAAAACTATGAAAATTATACCGTCTCCAGAAATCACCTATTCTAATAATCCACTATGTGTCGATTTGAACTTAATCATCAATAACTCCTACTATTTAAATTGAGCTTATGTACTACTGACAAAGTGAATAAGTAGTGCCCAATTAATTTTTTCGTACCAACGGACAGTTTGTCTTCAATTTTTTTAGTTTTCATATAGAAATTCAATCTTGAGGAAACCGATACTGTCTGTGGACTTCAAAACCACATCACTTGGTAATAGATATAGTTTTGTTACATCAAACAGTGTAGATCGATTGTATTTCTGACGTTTCGTGACTTAATGTAAGTAGTTTCTTCACTTAGATTTGAGCAGTACACATTTTTATTAGTATAAAAATAAATCTGATAAACGTAATGATAGTATGTTTTAATAATAAAACTGCTGAAATTTAACACAAACTTCAAATGTATTCGATGATTCAGTTATGATTCATATTTTACCCTAAAAATAGACTATTTTAATCCACAAATTATTCAGTTGGAATGTATTCATAGCTAGTGCTCTAGATAATATTTTTTTTAAATTATTATTAGCTTTATTCAATATTATAATTTTGGTACAATATAGAATTCTCAGCGCAAAGTATTTTAACAAGTTTCCGTTTCTTTCTTCTTGGTCGGTCCTGGCGATAAATATTGAGTGATTGCCAGTTAGATGTTAGCACTTCAGTGAATGAACAACTGAATAATGTACATTCTTTTCGTTGTACATTGCCAGCAACCATATTGTCTCTTATTGAGTTTTCTGTAACTTTGACAACGAAAGGTTGTACACTTTTCAGAAACGCAGCAGAATAGGTTATGCGATTAATAAACATGATGATATATTAAAACAAACAACAATAGATAACTTGTTGAAATATCTAGATGGCAGGAACAGGTAGCCCAGATGCTCAAGCAGGCCGCCCTGATAATGTATTCATAGCTAATGCTCTAGATAATATTGATTACTACTATAGACATGGGCGTGGTTTCCTTGGATTTTTGTATACTAATTCTCATTTGAGTTCCTAGTACAAATTTTTTTTAAAAAAAACGACGCCGAACGTCCAAATGATGGAAGTTGTAAATCTTTAAGAAAAACTTTAGAAAAAATATTTTGAACTACTTGTTAGTAGTATAAAAAGTATAAATCATGAATAGTTCACATATTGTAATAAAGTATTTCTCATCCTAATCCATGAAGATCACAATGTATTTTCAATGATTTCTTATCAAGTTTTGCACTTATAAGTGGTCAGAAACATTTCGAATTGTTATGGCTAACAGAATTAAACTGATACACGTATATGATTAGCCTACGCAAATTGTGGAGATTGTAGCATTTTCACTGTTGAAATCATGGAGTAGTTGAAGTTAGATGTTAAGATCGCTGCGTGTTAGCTCATTGGTTTAGAGGTTAATCGTTCTTGCACGAGATCGAGGGTACTGGATTCAATTCAATGTATCTAGGTTACGGATGTTTACTACTGGGAAATCCTATGTTATATATATTGCAAAGGATAGTAGAGTCTTGCTGTACAAAAAATAGAGTCAATAAGTCATCATTATGTGAATTAAGGCGAAAACGACGTTGAATTTCAAATGAAACAAAGACACAAACGCACATGAAGTGAATATTTACATATGATTAAGGTAGGGAATGATTCATACTGTGTTTCAGAGATAGGTAGACTGGTGGAGGGAAAATTGTTATTATCTATTACATATTATTCTTAGTGGCTAGAAAAGCACACATCTCGATAGATTTAATTAGCTACATGAATGTGAAGGTGGATATTGGGCTTTAATCTATTTAATGATATATGTCCCTTAAATATTAAAGTACAAAATGTTCAGTAGATTATATTTTCTCTACCCAAACACTGGATTTACAGAGTCAGTCTGATTATCGTAGTAGTAATTTATTATTAGGAGAACAGTTAAACACACAGTGACATGTTCTAACTTCATTGTAAGAAGAATAGTTTGAAATATCGGCAAACAATGCTTTGTTGATACTAAAGTTCAGTATTGTTGATATCAATTTTGCAATTATGTCAATTATTTTGAGAGCATATGTTAAATAAAATCACTGATTATTAACTGACAGTAAATGAATATCATTGATTAAGGATCTAGATTGATATTTCTGCAGTTGTTAGCCTAGGGACTATCGCACTTGGTGTTTGGAAGTAAAGGTACTGTGTTCGTATCTGGATATGAACATCAACACGGAAATGTGACAGGCATATTCAGCCAACAAGTCATATATGGGACGAAACGCGCATTCCGGGTCTCATTGTTAGTTATAATTTATCCATCCTGAATAACTGATGATAGATAATTTCTTAAAACTATAGGTTATATGTTTCTTTTTAGCATATTTGCACTCTATGGGGAATGCTTAAATTAAATGCATTCCTAAACGTCAATGGGAAGATTAGAAAAACTAATAAAAATGAATTAGACTCCACCCCATTGTACAATCTAGTGGCCATCCGGACTAAGTAGCTAAGTGGATATATGATGAGATGGCATTTGAAGTGAATGGTAATTGGGTTAGTACGCCTAAATGAACATCAATTCTGGGATTCGGCAGGTATTCCCAGCTGACGAGCCCGAAATAAGATGAACCACCTGTCCTGGAATTCACTGCTAGCCACCATTCATCTCTTTTTATAATACAGGATTGTGATTAAACTCCAATGTGAACTATTCAAGATTAGGAATTGAAAGTGATTTTCGAAAGTTCTATCGGTATAATTCTGTATTGTGAACTTCCTTAAGTTGGATTTCTTTCAACAAGGTAAAGCGAACCAATTTAAAATGACTGATGATTTTGAAAATTTATAACAATCAGACATATCTAGCATTGAGAAACATGAATAGCGTTGGTGGGTATACAACTTAAAAGTTATATAATATCAACTAGAGTGGTGACTAGATAGAAGTGTGTATTATTATTATTATGACCATTATTATTAGAGGCTTTATATATTTTTGGTACAATATAGAATCCTCAGAACGAAGTATTTCAATAAGTTTCCTTTTTTAACTTTGTGACTGACCCTGACGATAAATACTGAGTGATAGCCAGTTAGATGTAAGCAGTTCATGAATCCATATATGAATAATGTTCATTCCTTTCAATGCATATTTCCGCCTACCACGATATATCTGATTGTCATTTTTTGTGACTTGTACAACGAAAGGTTGTAAACTTTTCAGAAACGTACCTATTAAGGTTATGTAATTAATAGAATTAATGATGTGTTAAAACCCAACAAAAACGAGTAACTTTTTGAAATATCTAAATGGCAGGAATAGATAGTCCAGATGTTCAAGCAGGCAGCCAGAAGTTGGATAGAGGAAGTTGATACATTCCATTGAGGTTAGTAATAAGGTGATTTTATCTGAATAAAACATAAATATTCTGGAACTCATTGTGTCTAGTATGAAATAGTTAACATAATCGGTTAGATTAACAATTAAAAAGACAAATGTTTAACACTGTTTTTTGGCTAGTTACCTTTGATACTGTTCAATTTGAAGATAATAAAAAAACCCGGACTGACTTCATCCAAACAAATATTGGAGACTAGAGAACATTGTGTAGTGCCGGTTATTATGTTAAGCCCATATACCTTATTCAAGCATTCGGACAGCCTATCCTATTCATTCTACTTGAGTCACATTCTGACCTTGTTATTTATTCGCTTATCAATCTTAACTGTTTTTATATGAGCGCGTAGGTGTGTGTACATTTCTTATCCCATTACTCATCAAGTGTCTGTAACTTACTTTTGTGTAACTATAAATATTGATTAACGCTCGGTTAAACGGGAGTTAGCTTACCTGCCATCTCCACTGCGCGTCATTTTGCTTCGTTCTATTCCATTCACTTTATATACAAAATATATGTATTCAAAAGTTCATTCTCATTATTTGACTTATTTAATTCCGTTATTGACTAACGCGAATTAAGTCGATGATTATATACGAGAATAGGCGACATATATATTTCAATAACAAACATTCATTACGATCTTTCGGAGTCAGATCCACGGGTCACTAAAGTGGAGAGCCCTTTCGACAACATCGTCCGACCTTAATGACGACAAATAAAAGGGCCCC